ATCAGATGTCAATATAAGCCCCTGAACTCATAAAGAAGTATAGAAAGCGATTGCGTGAAGTAGAACAGAACGAACTGCTGCGCAGTATACTCGTCCCTTAATCGATAGACGGATATCTCGCCTTCGCCAAAGGTGACGTAAGTTGGCAAAAACCAAGCGAACTTTTCGAATCCGTGCTGAGATTTCGTCAGACACCAACCCATTAGGGCTGATCAGACTTCCAAGATATGTGAAGTTGTCAACGCGTTCGACTACTTCACTCCCTATCCTTAGTTCAGGTGTTGACGCAGACTAGTCCTGAAGCAACAACTTGCATTTAGAGGGAGAGGAGCGCATTCCAAACATTCTGGAATTGTTGCTTAGCGCTACCAAAAGACTCTGCATTTTATCAGCGTCTTCACCAAACAGGACTATGTCATCTGCGTATTCTAAGTCGATAAGTGGACCTCCTGGAAGGAGATCAATGCCCGATAATCCGGTCGACGAGAATGTTATTTCTATCAGTATGCCTATGATGAAGTTAAACAAAATTGGAGAAAGTGGATAGCCTTGACGGACACCACTTGAGGTTGCGAAAGCAGACGATAGTCCGCCATAAGCTCTGACTCGACTGGCAGTGTTCGAGTAAAGAGCCTTCACAAGGTTTATGTACTTCTGAGGCACACCTTTCAATGACAGACATTGCAACAGAATCTCGCGGTCTACCGAGTCAAATGCTGCTTTTAAGTCAAGAAAGTCCACCATTGTCGGACGCCGATAAGTATGCCTATGTTCTAGAACCTGACGAATGGTGAATATGTGGTCGATGCAGCCATGACCAGGTCTGAAGCCAGTTTGATTCTCTCGTGTTTGCAGTTCACGAGTCTTAGTTAGGCGTCCGATAATTATCGAGGCTAGTATTTTAGATACTATATTAGTTAAACTAATCCCTCTGTGATTGTCACATGATGATTTTAACCCTCTCTTATATATTGTGACGATAAGTGATTGTGACCAGTCTGCTGGAATAACGTCTAACTCCCAGATCTTAGCTAAAATATTAGTCAACCTAATCGCTAAAATTGGACCACCATCCTTAAAGACCTCTGGAGTTAGTGCATCTGGACCAGCTGCCCTTCCTCGTTTCAGATTAACTATAGCCTTTTGAACTTCTGCTAGAGCTGGGGGACCTACTTCAATGTTCCATTCACACTGTCTGGGAATGGAGGGTAGTTGTAGAGTAGCTGAAGGCCAGCTGAACTGTTCTCTGAAATGTTCCGTCCATCGTTCTAAACGTCTGGACTGGAAGCAGATGAGAGTGTCGTCTTTTTCCGAAATAGTCTGACTTACACTTGACTTATTAATTCCAGTTTCTTTTATTAGTCTGTAGAGCTGTCTGGTGTTACCTACAGCCGCTGCCTTTTCCATCTCTTTTGTTTTCGTTGACCATCACTGCTCACGGTCGTTCCTTAAACTTTTGGTTAACCTAGATTTGATTTGTTTTTGCTCTTCATCGTGTTCAGAGCCTGATGGGATGAGTTTACGAGAATCCATCAGTGCAATAGACCTTGAGGAAATCCATTGGTTCTTTGTAACCCTGTGGTTTAAATCACTGATAGATGTCACTGCTGTTTCCACAGCTGTTTGTATAGCTTTCCAAGCAACATCTGGGTCAACCTCGTTTTCAGAACCACCTAATTGTGACTTCAGTTGTTCCTGGAACCTACTTTTGTTTTTCTCGCTACTCAATTCAGTTCTAATGAGTCTTTTTGCTGTGGCTTTTTTGCGTCCAGTGAGGCGCAAGCAGATGCGTGCCCGTATTAGGGCGTGGTCGGAGCCCAAGCAGGTACTCCAGAGTGAGCGACAATCTTCTACCGACCATCTCCAACGATGACTGATGGCAATATGGTCTATTTGAGTCCATCGTTGGTTTGGTTTAGGGGGTCGCCATGTTAGACGATGTCTCTCCTTATGCTTAAAATTTGTGTTTGCTAAAAATAAACGATTGTCTGAGCACAGTTGCAGCAGACGATCACCATTATCTGTTCGTTGTGCCAGAATACTAAAATACCCACCTAAATGCCTTTCTGTTTGGTTTAAACTACCTATCTGGGCATTAAAGTCACCTGCTACGAGTACTATGTCTGAGTGTTTAGCTTTCTGAAGAAGTTCAGATAGATTTCTGTAAGTCATCTTTCACTTCAAACAGGCTGCAATTAGTAGGAGCATAGGTAAAAACAATGAAAATGCATTTAGGAGAAGAGTTTGGCTATTCTCTAATAGCTTACGTTTACCAAAAAATCTGTATGAGACGTCAGCATAAGCCCCTGGGGTCTCAAAGAAGTTTATTTATTTATTTGAACACATATATGTTGGCACAAGGAGGCACCAAGTACATATGTGCCACATAAATCATTCGATTTATGTGGGAGCCTTCTACCTGAAGGTTTGATCCACAAAGCAGTGGAGCAACATCAGTATATTCAGTCTCATGGTAGCCGGTGACCAATAGTTGGTTCGTACGCCATTTGTTCCTTCAGGATACTGGAGCCCATGTGCACCATTGGTTTGGAATCAGTGTTTTCCAACTCTTAGGTGGACTCTCCATGTCCACCAACCCGGTGAAACCGCCTGACATTCGTTTTCCGTCCTCTCATTTTCGTAAACAATAGTAATGCCGTGAGAAGACAATGGGTAGAACTTCCCTGGCAGAGGCTATATACGCGTGGCCATGTGAGAGGATCTCGAGAGAGAGCTGACTTTCCCCACTCTCGTTCGTACCAGGGCATTTGGGGGATATTAAGGATTTACTTTTATTTAACATTGTTACAGCCATTTTTTAGAGATGACACTTTCATCATCTGACTTATCAGGAATCAATCTTTTTCCAAGAGATATGCTTACTGACTTAGAATACGCAGTTGATATGGTTTGTTTGGTGAAGGTACTGAAAGAAATACAGTCTTCTAACCACCTTATGGAACAGTGCAAGGATGTTTGGGCTTCTTTTCTCTCCATCCAAATAAAAAATGTTACTTCAAGACCGGTTTGGGTCAACGCCTGGACTAGGGGTAGGGAGTGAAATAATTGAGTGTGTTATCCACTCCACTTATTTTGGTAGTCTCATGATCTTTGGTAGATTGATGTCAGACGAAATCTCGGTAGGAATTTAGGAAGGTCAGTTGACTTTTGTCATTTGACGTCGCTTGTAGTGTACATGAGATATCCGTTTGTCAACAGAAGGACGAGTATACTGCACAGAAATTTGCTATGTTCTACTTTACGGGTGTGAAATATGACCTTTAAAAATAGAGAATGTTAGTAGGTTCCTAGTATTCGATCGAAGGTGTCTTTGAACGATTGCTCGTATACTTTGGGACAACTGAGTTAACAATTCTAAGGTTCGACGCAGAATACTAGATAGGTATGGTAAATTGACTGGCGAGGTAGTGAAACCTTTTCGGGTGAAATGATCGGAACATATATTATGTTTGTCCATCCACCGTCTACCTCGACACTTGATTCTGGATGATGTAGGAGTATGTTGGAAGGAAGCTAGGAGTGAAAAACCAAGTACACGTCATCGGTCCATGAAAATATTGACTATTGAACTGAACCATATAGAGATGGATGCAGACGACCTGGTTGGGGTCTACGTGATTATCTTAACCAGCGGTTAGCGATTTTGAATGACATATCTTGATAGCACAGGTGCATTCACTCTTTATCTTCCCTTAGATCATGAGTTTCTAAATCCCTAATAGTTTTCTTATTTTAGTAATTTGTGTTTTCCTTTCTTGTTGTACCTTCGATGTCTTATCTTTTCTCTTACTCTTAATCCTGTTACTATTTTTACTACACCGCAATTTAGCCTGAAACTTTCATTTTACTGTGCTGGTGAGGTGTGACGACTTGAACCGATATTCACATGTACTAGGTTCTACGTTGTGTACGACTAACCGACTGACGAAGCACTTATTATCTCAGTTTTGAATATTAATAACAAACAAAATTACAATTTCTACAACCAACACTATAAATATTCGACAAAGTTATTTAGTATCCGGATTGTTTTGCTATTTATCCGGTTGAATCAAAAACTTACTGGTTAAGTATCAAAATATGCAGTGGGTACATTATATGCGAGAACTTTTAATGTTGGGAATGAAGATGATAATAATTTACTGTTTACCTTCAAGACTAGGAAAATGTTATGTTTACTGGGATAATGGAGTTTCTGTAATCTCAGTATTATAGTTAGTTCTAATGCCATGTTTGTTATTGTAGTTTTCTATTCAGTACCCTATCAAATGAGTCGTTTAAACGACTGTTTGTAAACATCCACTGACTATATAATCAGAAAAGGTTCACGTGTTTGCTTTATTTTTCTTAAGTGAACGTTTTAATTCAACTGAGAAAATGTTTTCTGTAGATTCCTTCGAGTCATCGAACATGCAAATATGATAAACCGCATGTTGACTAACCTTAATGAGAGGTTCGCACGTCAGCCTGAATGACAGAATTTGGTCAACTTTCAGGATTAAGAACAATGATGTTATTTAAAACTAAAGAGGCGTACTGCGATATGCATATGTCAGTCCTACAAATGGTTATTCTCTGTCCAAATAGCTCTGTGGCAACATTTTTAACTGTGACATACGTTTGAGTTTTAGAGGGGACATCTCTCTCAAGATTGCAAACTTGCCTATTTAGTACGAGTGCCAACAAAAATGAAATCTGTCTATGGTTTATGGTGATTGCTTTCAAACATCTGACATCAAAATGCTAATAAAGATCTTTCTCTGTTCTATTGTTACTGTACAGGCAAATGAGTTAATTTATTGTCATCTATCTGATCTGTAATTCAAAACCAGTCGACTTAGTTTCTCAAATTACTTTTAATAACATGAATTATGTAGTTCAAACAATTAATAAAAATTGCTTCAATTACAAATAATATTTCTCATAGTACTACATATTTACTTTAAATTGATTATCGTTTTTATTCTCAAAATTCACAGAATTCTGGTTATTATATTTACACTTTGAAAAGACAATTGGAGATATCACACAAATTCCATCTGTGCAATGGAGAGCTCAAAAAACTCTGCTCACGGAATACTTTGATAAATTCATATTAATGTTAAATAAAGAACAATAATAAACATTGCTGTCATGATATGTATCACATATATTTTGTTTAATAATTAAAATATATTTAAGTAAGCATTTTGTAATTTAGCTTATGTATTTATATTTGTAAAGAATTTTAATTTTGTTGGACTAAAGATTCGTTTGTTTAACTTTGCCTATATTATTCCTTTCGAAAGTGTTTTGTGATCTTTCGATAAGTGATTAGTTCACAAATACGTAAGTACCGACACTAGAGATTGTCTTGGATGAGAGGGTGGCATCAATACTTTTACAGTTATTTAATTATACAGAAATGTTTGGTTTATTATAGGACTGACGGTTAAATGATTGAAGCATTTTTTAGCTTTCAAGTATAATGTTCAAATACCACCATGTTTACTTCGATTTCGAGTACATAAACCATTTAATTGATAAATGGTTTGCGTTAAATGTTAATTACAATTGTAGCCTTCGTACATTCTGCAAACTAAATTTACGAGTTTCTCAAGAATCATTTATGTAAGTCATCCAAGCTTAATCATTACAATCTATTGAGAATGATTACTAAATAATCACATGCTTAACTAGTAGAATGCGAATACACGTCTACGATTATCATATTTGAATGTGTATGACCCATTCGTACTATTCAAATCGATTATTACTATTCTCTAAGCCTGAATATCCTGCTTCATAGTGGTTATTATTATTGTCCCTGGAAAATTTGAATATCCGATAGTTCATCTTTGAGTTCAGTACTTAATTACGTCTGTTACTCCCAATGGAGCATAGGCCGCCGACCAGCATTCTCTATCCCACTCTGTCCTGGGCCTTTCTTTCTAGTTCGATCCAATTGTTGTTCATTCTGCTCATGTCTGTCTCCATTTCTCGGCGTAATGTGTTCTTTGGTCTTCCTCTTTTCCTTCGACCTTGAGGACCCCAATTGAGGGCTTGACTTGTGACACAGTTGGGTGCTTTCCTTAATGTGTGTCCTATCCACCTCCAGCTCTTCTTCCTGATGTCTCCCTCTGCTGAAATCTGGTTTGTTCTCTCCCACAGTAGATTGTTGCTGATAGCGTCTGGCCAACGGACCCGAAGTATTTCGCGTAGACAACTGTTAATAAACACTTGTATCTTCTGGATAATGGCTTTCGTAGTTCTCCAAGTTTCCGCCCCATACAGTAGGACTGTCTTGACATTTGTATTGAAAATCCTGACCTTGGTGTTAGTTGACAGACAGTTGTTTTGAGTTCCAGGTGTTCTTCAGTTGTAGATATGCTGCTCTTGCTTTGCCGATCCGCGTCTTCACATCTGCATCGGATCCACTGTGTTCGTCTATGATACTGCCCAGATGTGTAAAGGATTTTACATCATTCAAAGCTTCTCCAACAAGTGTGATTCGATTGGTGCATGTTGTGTTGTATCGGACAATCTTGCTTTTCTCTTTGTGTATGTTGAGACCTATTGGTGGTGCTACCCTGGTCGTCTTCTCCTGCATTTGTTGTTGCGTGTGCGATAGGAGAGTCAGATCATCTGCGAAGTTGAGATCTCCCAGCTGCATCCTAGCTGTCCACTGTATCCAGTGCTTCTCCCCAGATGTTGACGTCTTCATGATACAGTCAATCACCAGGAGAAAGAGAAAGGGTGAGAGTAAGCAACTGTGCCCGACACCGGTCTGTACTTCGAACGAGTTTGTCAACTGTCTTCTATGCACGATTTTGCAGTTTAATCCATCATAGGAATTCCGTATGATATTGTTTATCTTCTCAGGTACGCTGGAGTGTCGAAGAATCTTCCATTATGTTGTTTGAGTACAGTGCAGTACATTGATGAAAATGAGAATCGCTTACTATAGAATGGCAGTACGTAGCTCTTTCATAAGTTCTGATGGCGCTTTTTAACGCTTCAAGTGACTGGAACGCTACAAGATACAATGTATTCAAGAATACATTATCTGTTTCTGTGACAATGTGAGAAACCATAGAGCTTGGTACTCTGTACGTTACTATCGACCATGATTTGAAGAAAAGGTGCTCTGTCTACAAGTACCGACATATATCAATTTAAAAAATAAACAACCAAGTATAACAAATTTAAAACTAGCCATTTAATTGGACGAAACGGAATGAAAAAAGCACAAAAACTGCCGTGCGTTTAATGCTATTCAAAATTCACCGTTAACATCAAATTATGCAATAACATGTAATTATGATTGCGAATTTCAAAGGTGTTTACGAATAGATGGTATACAAAGTTGGTTTTTTTTTAACTATGATAATGAAACATAAACTGGATATCATTCATACTACTTCGTCCTAATCATTTATAAAATTCAAGAAATTGTTGTGTATAATGTCTACACATCATAATACTATTGTGTACCACGTGGTGGCTACTGTGGCAAGCCCATTTGGCCACTGTATCATTTGTCTACTCATTGTAACTCAGACACTTAATTCATCATGTTAATTTCTGTGTGCATTTCAGACTCTTAATTCACTATGTTAATTTCGGTGTGTATGATCGAATGCATGTCTGTACATTAACCGTTAAGCTATCCTCCTATTGGTTGCAATGTACCGATAATCGGTAATTTGTCCACACCCGATTAACTCTCAAAAATATATATAGATTTTTAACACTCAGACTTACACTCACTCACTTTGTTTCATCGTGTGATTGCTCGCTGTACGCTTGCGGATTTTTATTAATCATTAGCAATAAATTATCTCTGCAACTGGTGTTCAGGCTTTTGAATAGTCTCGCGTAAAATCCATAATTCTACCAGGAGATTTAGCCTTCATTAAATGCTCAGTTAACGGGATATTATTTATTGGAGTCAGATATAGAGGACATTAGCCTCAACACTACTCTAAATTCTACCGATTGACCAACTCCATTTATCCCAGTACGACCCCGATCTCCAATATATCAGAACACGAACCGTTAGAAGAAAATTGTTTATGGGATCAGGAGAAGAAGAATAATACTTTACAGACAATTGCATATTTATACAGTTAGGACTACCGTGAATATTGACGGATAGGAAAATGACACATGAAATAAATATTGACCAGTAGTGAAACGACACGTGAAATAAATATTGGCCAATAGGAAAATGACACCATTTCACATTCAAGGATAGCATTGAACTTAACAGAATCATTTTTGGGATATTTTTATGTATATCTCAACAAATACATCATAAATTTCCGATCAGTCGAAGTAGTGGATGACGCCTAATCTCATCATCAATAATGAAGATCAACTGAAGTAATAAATAAAATGATGCACATATTACGAAGAAGTGAAGATGAGACTTTGGATTTTGTAGACTTTCAAAACCATTCTTGCAGATATTTTAACTTATTTCAGAACTCTCCAATGGTGCACACTCATAACTGCATGAGATTTAATTAGGGAAAGCTAAATGTTGAGATATATATCAAAACCTTTAGATCTCTTAACTAGAGTTCCGATGATCCATATTTACAACATCAGTCAATTCTCAATGTAACAGGAATATTATCCATTAATGTTGTTAAGTAATTGTTTTATTTTCAGAATCGATTGACTCTATGAGTCACAATGTTTTACCAGAACTTTGAGAAACTTATTCGCATGCTAATTATTAACTAGCATAGGATTATTGTTTAATTAAGTCGTTTATGGAAACATGTCTTTCAGCTGATATCAGTTTGTAATGAAAGTCAATAAATTGAACTAACTTCCGCTATCACTTAACAAGCCATGTATATTTGATATAGTTGTTATTGTGTGAACACATTCATGTCATAGGTGACTTATTCGAACATTGACAACTGTTATTTCAGCTTGAGTTTTCTTTATAGCAGGTTTTATTGATTGTCAATGAACTTTCTCGAATTATGCTTATTTACAGTTAACTCCTATCGCACACGCAACAACAAATGCAGGAGAAGACGACCAGGGTAGCACCACCAATAGGTCTCAACATACACAAAGAGAAAAGCAAGATTGTCCGATACAACACAACATGCACCAATCGAATCACACTTGTTGGAGAAGCTTTGAATGATGTAAAATCCTTTACACATCTGGGCAGTATCATAGACGAACACAGTGGATCCGATGCAGATGTGAAGACGCGGATCGGCAAAGCAAGAGCAGCATATCTACAACTGAAGAACACCTGGAACTCAAAACAACTGTCTGTCAACTAACACCAAGGTCAGGATTTTCAATACAAATGTCAAGACAGTCCTACTGTATGGGGCGGAAACTTGGAGAACTACGAAAGCCATTATCCAGAAGATACAAGTGTTTATTAACAGTTGTCTACGCGAAATACTTCGGGTCCGTTGGCCAGACGCTATCAGCAACAATCTACTGTGGGAGAGAACAAACCAGATTTCAGCAGAGGGAGACATCAGGAAGAAGAGCTGGAGGTGGATAGGACACACATTAAGGAAAGCACCCAACTGTGTCACAAGTCAAGCCCTCAATTGGGGTCCTCAAGGTCGAAGGAAAAGAGGAAGACCAAAGAACACATTACGCCGAGAAATGGAGACAGACATGAGCAGAATGAACAACAATTGGATCGAACTAGAAAGAAAGGCCCAGGACAGAGTGGGATAGAGAATGCTGGTCGGCGGCCTATGCTCCATTGGGAGTAACGGGTGTAATTAGTATCACATCGCAACATTTAAATTGAGCTAGTAGTGTGAAATGTGGAAAAGGAAGCCGATAATGGTATATATATATATATATATATATATATATATATATATATATATATATATATATATATATATATATATATATATATATATATATATATATATGGAAACAAGCACAAAATTGAAGCATGCGACAAAATAACTTTAGACGATAACAACAACTCTTTCATGATAAATCTGTAAAAACCATTGAAGGAGAATAATATTATGTTTGTAAGTAGCATTTTCATACAATCTTTTCTTTTTTGCGAATGTGAGTAAAGCCAAAACAACAATTAGCAATAATCATTTCATAAAGAGAACTTGTTGTCATGTATATAGTTTGTTTAAATATGTATAGGTCAATAGAGTTTATTTTTCAAATAGCATATGATTAGATTTTACATGATAAATATAAGGAAATCACTGAATAGACTTCTTTACCCACTTGTTTAGTTACTTTTTTTGAAAATTTATTTAAAAAACTGATTTATCTGTCTTTCTGAAATGCTTCATTATCATATTCCTTTGTTTGATAATTATCAGATTGTTCGGTCTTTCTTGATGTGGTTATTAATTGTGCTGTTTCTTTGTTCAGCTGTTCATTATTTTTATCATTATGTGTTATGATTGTAGATGATTCTTTTTGTTTTACAAGTTGATTAAATAATTGTTGATTAATATTATTTAAATGATTTTCATCACCATCATTATCATCATTGTGTGCTATATTGTTTTTCAAACCAATACAAGTACAAATATAATGAACTTTGGCGATAATTTCATCTTTCATTAAATTTAAACACATTGATAATAAAGCTAATCCAAATAGTAAATATAAACCACCAACAAATAGTTCAGTTGCAGTTTTAGGCTACAATGAAATGTTTCATTGTTTTTGCATCGTTTGTTTTGTTTTCAGATAAATAAATGGGGATTTATTAGTAAATATATGATAACAGTCAATCTTTATATATATATATACAGCAAATAAATAATAGTTTGTTTTCAATTAAACGAGACAATATGATTTAGTATAGAGTTTTATGTTGGCTCTAACTGTGGAGAGGGGTACCATTAAAAATCAAGTGGGATTAGACAGGTATTGTATCCTAGTTAATTCCGATTCCAGTAACCATGACAAAATTGTTGGATTAACACACATTTGGTGAAGTATATAAACTGACCGGTTTTATAGGTTGGATGGAGTTTTCGAAAATTGTTCCACCAGGCGACTTCAAATCTAATACATTTTATGTAGCCTCGATACAAATGGCCTAAGCTACCAAGTTACTGGTACACAAGCATGAGCTATCGTGACTGACCAAGTCTATGTGAATATATATTTGTTCATCGGATTTCGGAGAGCTTGGTACATGATGTATTTCTAAGAAGTGTTTCTCGATGCTTAGGAAAGCACCTCCTAACATCATTCAATAAAGGACATTACAGAATTATAAAATTGGTTGTTCTGTAACATGTTATCCAATAATTATCAGTCTGCTGATATATTCATTATTCCATTTTATCCATTAATATAAACTGTACTCTATAAATTCCAACCATTATACATATGCATACACTAACATATCCAATTTACTCATAACAGCAACTGTTTTATATAAATGAAATTGTTAAAATAGGAATTTTTCCTAGCTAAACTATTTATTTTATTGATATAAACAGTCGGATTACGAATACATTTAGTTGATTAGTTCAGAGGAAGAGATATCTTGATTCCTTACTACTAACTACCATTGATAAAAATATAAATATTCAACTAGATGTAACACGTAAAACGATGTAATTCATCATTGCTTTACAGAAATGAAATGTATACGACAAAATTACTGTAAATATAATTGAGTTTACACCAACTATAAAGATTTATGTATATTTGCTATTTCTTAATAATCATGTTTACCGAGTTAGCTTTGTGAAGATTTGATTACAAACTGATTTCATTTAGGGAATTATTAAAGATACGGAAAGAAAACTAGATAGCTGTTTCAACTTATCTGCAAACATTTATAAAACTACATAGAACCCAATAGAGAAACCATGATAGTTGTTGTACTAACATTATCTGGTACTAATGTATCACGATTTGAGTAGATGGTGTGATCAACGTCAAGGTCTCAATAAATCATAGACAGTAATCAATCAACCTATATCGCTAGTCGCTTTCTTGATAATGGTCTGAATACACATCAGACACGGCACCTTTTAAAAAATTAGGTTATCATCAGTATGACTAGGAGAATATTTTACAACGTAAAAATATTCAAAATTTCTTTGTAGAATGCTTTAGCCATGGATTAACATTAAAATGCAACACAGGTTATACGACTGTAGTTTGTTTCTTCTTTTTTTTTTAACAAAAAAGGTCGTAAGATGTATAAATGAATTTACCTCAGTGAATCTTCCATTCCCTGGAACTAAATCACCGAATCCAATTGTTGATATTGTAATAAATGAGAAGTAAGCAGCATTAGCTGTTGACCAGTCTTCCCATGCTGGAAATATCACAGCACCAATTAATGTATATATAGATAGGACAATAACACTGACTGTCAATGGAACATGTAGTTTTTCCTCTTCAGCGTTCTCATCTTCGTCGTCACTTTCATAATCGTCATCATAGTCATCTTGGGTATTCGACTGAACCTTAGTTTTATATAAGAAAATAACACAATATTTAGATTTGCTGGGGCGACATGGGAACGTCAGTCACAAAAATAGTCAAGGTTAAATAGCCATAAAAATACTGAAATGATGGAAAAAGATTTTTAAAAAATTCACATTTCTCTTGTATCTTAAACAGGAATGAAAGGGATAATAATATCATTGAGTGAAATCAACAATTGTTCTAAGTGGACTAACCTGAACACCTGAGATGTGTAATGCCTACCGTTAATTTGTTTATCTCAATCAACTTTAGATTTACATATCACTTTTTGTTTTGACATATAACTGTTTGATTGATATCCATCACAGAATAAATGCTTTATATTGGTTATAATTTCTTCAATAATGTTTAAACTTGAAATTGAAGTGTATTACAGTTGTACTATCTGAGTGAAATATTTTAACTTCAATCAGTTTATGATATCGACTCTATTCTTACTTAGAACTTATTCCTACTGTCAGATTGTAGCATATATCAGTTTACATTTTTATTCATAACTAATGCTAATGACAAATTACCAACTGGTGTAAACTATTTGTATAATGTCAGTTACGTAGTGTTGGATGTTTGAAACCAGTTATCACTTTCAAGTCTTTTTTCCTCACTGGTCATCTTATAAGTTGTGTTTTTTTCTTTCAAAATTCAACAAAACTTGGTAATAAGTAGTGAAACGTATATTTTTCTAGATGATTTCTACAAACAGTAAACATAAAGCATATTTATTCACGGGAATTCTCACGTTGTTGGATCTTGGGCTTGCTTCTACTTTTTGACAGAATGAGAGCAGAACCACCATTGGTCATACACTGAAATTGCTAAGTATAATAAGCTAGGAGACATCAGAGCAGGACCATCCTCATTATGATGTACACTGGATAATTTCCTATACTAACTGATGTTGTGACGGTTTAAAAACTGTAGAAACTTAGTTTGAGAGATGCTGGCCTTCACTATATATAAATCATTTTCATTTCAGGCACAAAAACTCATATAACTATTGAGATAAGTAAAACTTCTAATCGTATGCTGATAGTCAATATTAAAGTTTAGTGTAGGTTAGTGCTAATCTTGTAGAAGTGGTGAACATCTTGATAGTTCAGAATACATACTATACTTGTGAATGGCGATCATCAACGTACTGAAAATGGATTTGGTAACATGTTGATCACTACACATGAAGACTATATCATCCGGATCCTCTAGATCAAAAAGTCTTCCCCCAGAAAGTAATGTTAAGATGTTTTATTTCCAAGCTGTTTGGATTCTACTGATCAAGGATGTTGTTTATTGATCAAGCTTAATCACTTTACTAGTATTTTAGAAACTTGGGCTGTTCTTCAGTAGTCGATCAACATAAATGATTCAGTCCTAAATGGAACCATTCATTATATGAATAGGGTATTGACCAATAGAATTCGATCAATATAAAGACTAAACGACATGAAATTTACCAAAGATTATACTTCTCGTTGTTGATATCTGCATTCTGAACGTATTGCCCTCGTGTTGTAAAAACTAGTGGCTATCTGAACTCAGTAGCATAGTTGACATTTGTAGCGATACATTCTGAGTTGGAACAGCACTGTATGATCATCAATACAGGAAATAAGGAAATATCTAGCTGATAAGTATCAAATCGAATAAAGCGTATATCCTGAATACTTCTTTTAGCTACAATTCAATTCCATTAAAACACAGCTTTTAATACAATTAAGTGGTTATTATATGTGCCAACGATTTGGTCGTATAGGAGATCGTTAACAGCAAGGATAACTCAATAGTAAAATCTTTGACTGTGATACTGGGTGATTTACGTTCAAATATCAAAGAGAACACCATCTCATTCAGTATTTCAGATCTGTCAACTAAGATGCCTACAATCACTTAATATCCTCATATATTTCAACATTAAAACTTTGTTCTCATTTATCATGATTATTTTACAAAAAAAAACTCTTCATCTATTTGTATATCACAACTTTTATTAATTCTAAACTTTTCTTACTATCGTTCATGGCTTCCTAGTGATTTGGACAAACATCTCTTGGATTATTGTTTAATAAAGATCTCAAGAGAAATAAACTTTTTCATCAGCCATTAGTATATATGAGATAAACTATGTTAAAATTCATTCGTTCACTTAAAAGACAAGAGAAGCTAACAATCCATTCAAAATGCACAATAGCAAATACAAAAACCAGAGGAAAACACGAACCAAAGAACGTCTAATAAACCAAAGAAAAAACAATCATAATGTTCTAGAGTTATGTTAATTAATATAGGCAGCAAGAAGAATAATTAAAAATCAACACTACTACTACTACTACTATTACTGCTGCAGTGAACGAAAACACTAGTTGGGACAACCAAATGACTCAGAACACGCAGTTACAGAATCTCTTAGTGAAATCTAAGAACCATACAGTAAATATTTCATTTGCAAAATATCAATCAATTGTCTTACACTTGATTGTTCCTTCGTTTCCATACCAATCACTCTCTGTTCTCGTCCTCTTCTATTCGATCTTAACTTTCTGCCTTCAGGCATTTCACTTTCGATTGGTGATACATACTACTTATATCTGTGGGCATCAGTAGCACAACACCACATTATTAATGGGCGGCCTGCTTGAGCATCTGGGCTACCTGTTCCTGCCATCTAGATATTTCAACAAGTTATCTATTTTTATTTGTTTTAATATATCAATATGTTTATTAATCACATGATGTATTCTGCTGCGTTTCTGAAAAGTGTACAACCTTTCGTTGTCAAAGTTACAAAAAACTCAATAAGAGCCAATGTGGTTGCTGGCAATATACAGCGAAAAGAATGCACATTATTCAGATGTTCATTTACTGAACTGCTAACATCTAACTGGCGAACACTCGATATTTATCGCCAGGACCGACCAAGAAGAAAGAAACGGAAACTTGTTGAAATACTTTACGCTGAGAATTCTATATTGTACCAAAAATATAATATTGAATGTAGCTGATGATAATAATAATAAATAGTAAAATTCCCATTTATGAATATCATTACTATTTAAACATGTAAACGTTACTATTTTATAGTGAGAATATCCTATGTCCTCTAAATTACTTTTTTCTCAATAATGCTATTTATGTTCATTACCTACTTTATTTCAAATGATATTTTGAAATTTTTCATTTCCTTCCAATTAACTCTATTACACACATACTCTTTCTCTGTGTTTATGTGTAGACGTTGAAACACGTCAAGTTCATTCCTAAGATATGATATTTTGCAAATGCTTTCCTAATTCATACAACAACGCTATCATTTCTTTTTTTTCTACATGAATTTATTCCCGTCTTTTAGAGAAATTATTAGTTGTCTTGCCAGGGAAGTGGATCGACATAGATGGCCACCTACAGAAATAAAAGGGATAGAATTAAATAACTTTTTTATAACTGTCTAATGTCTAGAGAAAGTTTTCATTGTAGACTAAAGTTATAAAAAGTCATCAAGAGGAAGAAAGCTCTCTTAACAGAGAATGAGAGGACAGTAAAAAGTTATTGAGATAAGAGTTCTGCTAAGATTGTTTCATTTTAAAGATGATTTTCCACACAAACTGACAATAGACAGCTTCATAGTTTTTAATAGTTCTCCAAATGTTGTTAATAATAAGATTCGATTTTATAATGAAATTTTATTTTGTCATATTTAAGCAGAGATGGATGTTGGTTAGCAGTAGAATCCAGGAAGTGCGTTTCGTCCTATTGAGGACTCTTCGGCTGAATATACATGCATTCCGCAATTGATGCTTATTCCAGGACTAAAATCCAATATCGTTGACCTTAACCGCCATGGCGTTATCCACTTAGCTACTGAGTCTGAATATTGACAGAGTTGTGCAATGGGACAAATTTTAATTCATATGTATCAGGCGTTTGAATCGTGTTATTTCCCGATAAGCATAATGAATGGTAACTTTGGGACCCAATTATGAACCATTACTAAACGTATATTTTTATCGTGTAATTGTTAAATAACTAAACTGTTCAGATTCATGTCCCTCTTATTATGTACTTTATTTTGACCTATGAGCTATTATAATACGTTTCACCATTCTTGAATTATGCCCTGTCTATTAATCACTACCTCCCACGTTCACAGCCCCATTTGGCCAAATATTGTACAAATGTTATTTCCTATTTTATGGTACGTTGTGGTCTGTTTGATTGGTATATAAACTCAGTATGTTTGAAACATTTAATATAACACATAAATGATTGATGGTCCACCAGGGTGCTTGGTACTTGTGTGGTTGCACCACAGGATTGATCTGTACTATTCAGATTGTACCGTTAAAGCTTATATGGTGTCTGGCTCTCCTGTGAAGCGAGATTGAGCTGTACTGCTCGGGTTATAAAGTTTAAGCCTGGATGATGTCTGGTTCTCCTGGGAACAGGATTCAACCGTACTATTTGGGCGACAAATTTTAAGCCTGGGCGGTGTCTGGCTCTCCTGTAAAGCGGGATTAGGCTGTATTGTTTGAGTTCCCATATGAAAGTCTGGATGGTGTTTGGTTCTCCTGAAAATCAATGTAAAATCACTCAGGCCTACAAGGGTATATATATATATATATATATATATATATATATATAATTATATATATATATATATATATATATATATATATATATGATTGAGAAAACAACTACAACCAACTCTAACAAGCAAAAAGAATAATTTTCAAGCACAATGCACAAATTGACTTTTAGTGAGCTAATAAATTATTTTCATTTTCTGAAGTTCATTTATTCATGTTAAATTGTTTTAGTTGTTATGGATGTCATAGTAACATAAATTTACCTTGTGTTATTTTAATCACATTCTTATAGAAAATATATTGTTAAAAAAAAAATAAAAAGGAATACGGTTACTTCAACGTTTCTATATATTTAAACAATCAAGGTAGTTATTTTCTTCTGTTTTTACTAATACAATAAA